AGGAAGTTGAGACCAAATTGCTCACATGCGCTGGATTATGGAGAAAGCCAGAGAGTTCCAGAAAAACATCTACTTCCTCTTCATTGACTACGCAAAAGCCTTTGACTGTGTGGACCACAACAAACTATGGAAAGTTCTTAAAGAAATGGGAGTGGCCAAACAACCTTACTTGCCTCCTGAGAAACCTATATGTGGAACAGGAAGCAACAGTCAGAACTGTATATGGAACAACTGATTGGTTCAAAATTGGGAAAGGAATATGACAAGGCTGTAATATTGTCTCCCTGCTTATTTAACTTTATGCAGAATATATCATGCAAAAGGCTGGACTGGAGGAATCCCGAGCCGGAATTAAGATTGCAGGAAGAAATATCAACAACCTCAGATATGCAGATGATACCACTCTGATGGCAGAAAGTGAGGAGGAATTAAAGAACCTCTTAATGAGGGTGAAAGAGGAGAGCAGAAAAAATGGTCTGAAGCTCAGTATCAAACAAACTAAGATCGTTGCCACTGGTCCCATCACCTCCTGGCAAATAGAAGGGGAAGATATGGAGGCAGTGACAGATTTTACATTCTTGGGCTCCATGAGTGTGCTCTGGTCCATGGGGTCATGAAGAGTCAGACACGACTTAACGACTAAAGAACGACAACAATGGTGTAAGCTGTCTTGGGTCCTTTTAACAAGAAAGGTGGGGTAAAACTATTCTAAACAAACAAATCTATTAAATTAATTCAAATAAATTGGCTATAGAACCACTGTAGTTACTACATTATATCTTGGTGCTATGCAGTTCAAATGCATGAATCAAGTAAACCCAAAACTTTTAGGGATAGTGAGAGGCACTAATTTTGGCCAACATAGAGGCCCTGGGTTGAAAAGTTAAAGGCTGCATGCCAGCAGTAGCTTAGCTGGGGCTCATTATCCAAATCTTCAGCTGATCAAAATCCTTGGAGAGGGAAGCACTGTGGAGCAGTGAGGCACAGCTATTTCTCAGCAGACCAGATTGGCAAGAAGGTGATGGAGAGATGTTTAGCAGGCCAAATCAGGAACCTCTGAAGTTCCATATCAGGCCCACAGGCCAGAGGTTTCCCATTGCTGATTTACAAGATAATTGTTCTTAGTAACACAGTCATACCTTTGGCAGCAAGGCAGAATTACCGGCCAGCTCCTGCTTTTGAACTTCCTGAATAATCTCTTCCTTTGGTTTCTTTGGTGGAATGACAGAGATGCAGGATGGGGGAGGAGCAAGGCTGCCCTTATTTTCCTTGCTTGCGTGAGTGGAGATGCGTGACGGCTTCTGATACAGATGAGGGCTCACTTCCATCTCTCTGCTCTCTCTTTTTCCATCTATGGCGTCAAGGGGGGAAAATAAGGTTTTTTTGAAAAGCAAACACTAGACCACTAGAGGAGGGCAACAAGGATAAGGGGGCTTCCACTATGAGGAAAAACTGGAAGAACTGGGCATGTTTAGCTTTGTGAAAATAAGATGGTTGTTGGTGGTATGATAACACTCTTCAAATACTTGAAAGATTGTCATCACATAGAGGAGAGTCAGGATCTGTTCTCAATCATTCCAGAGTGCATAATAACATGCATAATCATGGGCTCAAGTTATAGGAAGCTAGATTTGGTTAAATATCAGGAAAAACTTTCCAACTGTTAGAGCAGTACTCGTACGACAACAGAATTACCTTGGGAGATGGTGAGTGCTCCAACACTGGAGGGGTTCAAGAAAAAAATTAGACAACCACCTGTCAGAAATATGTTGATTTGGATTCCTGCCCTGGGCAAGGGGTTGGATTCAATGGCCTTACAGGCCCCCTCAAACTCCATTGTTTTGTGATTCTACAGTTACCCCACTCCATTGAAATAATTTGCTGCCATAAGGATGAGCCCTCAGGCACCACCACCATCACTATAAATGAAGGAACAGAGGGAAGACTTGCCAGATGGTGGCAGAAAATGTACTGGCATTACCTGCAGCATCTTTTTGTACGCACCTGCAGCTGGTTTCTTGTGCCTTTTGTGAAGCGGAGCAGGTTTGGGTAGAACAAGAGGCTTCTCAAGAGTAATCCTAGCAGCCCGAGGGATCAAACCCCTTTCAATTAAACTTAGGATGCCTAGAGAAAACCAACAAGGTTGGTGTAAAGTTCCAAATTCTAAACTCATCCCACCAATATCAGTGTCTTCTGTCCCCAAGTATGCTTTCTAAGTCAAGCATGTTGGCCTTTATTAAGGATGACTAAGATGTAGGAAAAGATAAAAACTGAAAGAATGCTTCTTGCTCAAGAGTCCCCCGCCATTTATTCTTTTATACTTTTGAGACAGTTGAAAAAGAAATGTCAGAGGACAGGGAGATAAGAGGTGGAACACAGTACCAATGACTTCCCCCTCTCCTTTATCTTTTTTCTCTGTCTTGTCTGCCTAGAACATGGCATGGGCAGAAGTATGGGGTAGACCTCTCTCTCTCTCTCTCTCTCTCTCTTTTTTTTTTACTCACCCCCAAACTTTTTCTCTCTCTCTCTCTCTCTTTTTTTTTACTCACCCCCAAACTTTCCCCCCTTCCTTCCCAAGCCCTTGATCTCACACTATGGAACATAGAAAACCTCCTGACATTGAGCCAGATTATGGCTCAAGCTGGCCCAGTACTGTTGACCCTAATGAGCAGCAGCTCTCAGAGGGGTGGAGGTGGGTTCAGGCAGATTTCTTCCCTAGCCCTACCTGTAGATATGAGGGATTGAACCTACAACCACTTACATGCTGAACATGTACTCTGTCACTAAATTATTGCCCTGGTAAGGAGATGAAGGAAGGGTAGAAGAAGGAGAAACAGCAATTAGGCCATCTCCAACGTTCAGCACAATAGCCTAGACCAAACATATAAAGAAAAAAACCTAACCAGACTGAAGAGGAGACTTAGACTGACCGACCTTTTTCTGCATCTCTGTCAGACACAGGCAAGCCTGTGTAAGCCTTATTCAAATGGAAGGAAGGTGGAGCGACCAAGAGGTTGCCCACAGTTACACCTTTTGCCACTTTCTGAGTTGGTGCCTAAGGAGAGATAAGAGGAAATGTTTTTATTTTAGCTGCAGACCTTTTTGACATCATGGAGCTCTTCACTCATGCATACCAAATAATAAATACTAGCTGCTACTTTCTATAGACGGATTCTAGGGATTCCCAATTCAATCAAATTATCTACTATAGCCCTAGAGCTAGGCCTGCATCTTCCTTCAACGACGGTGTGGGCTCTTACTTTCAAATTCTGGCTGTGCCTCCTTTTTAAAATAAACCCAGATGCTCTCCTTGTTCACCTTCTCAAAGATACTTACCAATCCATATGGTTTTCACAATGTGAATCCAAACTCATGACTATTGGCTTATCCTCAAACTCTCTACTGTATCTAACAGTAATTTTAATCAAGCACTCTCCCTTATCAAGGAGAGACTATGGGAGTCTGAGTACCTTCAGTTAGTTTCTAATGTGAATCAGACATGCTCCCCAATTCATTTCGGTATTTTTCCCTCCTTTGGTTATGGATATTCTTACTTCCAGTCCTTGGTGAACCCCTCTATTAGGAGGGCCTTTATGTTAGCCCGACTGAATATCTTCCCTTCAGAGGTGCTTAAAGGACGATATACCCGGGTACCTTTTGAACAAAGAATTTGCAATTTCTGCAGTTAAGAACCAGATTCAGTCACACACATCCTTTGTCACTGCTCTGAGTTTAAAGATATGCGTGCTTGTCTATTAGGTTCAATAATTTCAAATTTTTCTGGCCCTCCTCAGTTACACCCAGGTTTCCTCCTTAATGACTATTCACAAAAAATAACAGCCTTAGTAGCTGAGGTTCTTACAAAGGTTCTCTCCGCCCAGGGCTCTAAAAATTAACTAGACTACTCCAAAGTATCTCCTATTGTGTTTTTTGCTGTTGTTGGTTTTTTTTAGCCGTGTAACTACCATTATGTGTATCTCTATTTGCTATTAATTTCCCAGGATAAGTTTTTTTTAAAGTTTCCTATGCCAATAAAGGTTACCGAATTGATTGAAATACTACAGTATTTCTAACATGAGCAGTTTAATTATGCTTTAGTAGAAAAAAGTTTGATCTTAAGTTTTTATAGTTCAGATATATAATATATATGATTGTTGGCAGTCATCAGTTAATGCAGTTTAAAAGAGAGTTAACTAAAATTCAAATGAAGTTGTGTGCTCACTATTGTACAATAAATAATCAAGTATCTTTTGAAAAAAGAACACCCTTGGCCTCTTGTTAAAAGCTTGTTACATTGTTACATTTGAGCAACTATGCTCTGGCAATGCTAGATTTAAGCAATCTCTATATAAAGATCATTTACAACTCTATTCTGTGATCATCACCATAGGTTCAGGCCACTGAACACTTTCTTTGAGGGTGTCTGTAGGGGTCTGGTGAAAATAATTTAATTACCTGTTAAAGTGACACATATCAATGGTCCACCTAACAGCTACAACACTTGATGCTTATTCACTATTTCTTCCCAAAATACACAAGCTGCTGGGGCTCTCAATGCACACTTTGGTTTTAGCACAGAACGGAAAACAAAATAATAAATACAAAGATGTCGGGCTTGACCTTAAAAGAGCATTCAGTTACCTCCACAATCCTTTAAAATAAATTATTTTGAATTTTTAGAATCAGAAAAATAGTAATTTGCCATTCACACTGTCCAAATAAGTATTCTAATTACTGTACATTGACAGTAAACTCTGCAGTTTCATGGACTTGTCTGGCAAATATAGTTAGATTGCAACCTTTTAGAACCTAGGTCAACATAGTATGTATTCCCCCCCCCCCAGGGAATGTTTTTGGATTATTTTGCAGAAACATGCATATAAGAAACCTTTCTCTGGAATTAGTCAGGTAAAGTGGTGTGGTGGGAAGAGCCCACTGAAAAGGAAGAAACCAGATAAAATCCACACCATGCTCCTATGATCCTTCTTGAAAAATCCAGGCAAATGACTTATTCCAACACAATGAATTTGACATGTCTAATTTCACAAAAACATTCTGGCGGAGAGAAACATTACACCAGAACACAATTTTCAAAGGTTAGAACAGGGATCTTAATTTAGGCTGCCGGCAAACATTTACTCTGCATAATATGCTTGGAACGTGCAGTAGAAGTATTTCCCGGGTATCTCAAGCAATTCTGTGTATAATTAACTTGAGGCATGAGACAAAACAATTCTATTAGTCTTTTTGAAGTGCATTTCTCTGGTGTATAAAAACATCCCACTCAATACGGTTATTTTGTCAATGCTTCAATTTAAACTGAGCACTTTAAAAGCATGTTCTTTTCTGCTCATTGTTCTTATTATTAACAAAACAGTGCCACGGCAAAACATATTTATGAGGCAAATAGGTATCTGGCATATTACAAAAAAACACAAATGGGCACTGAATGCTGCATGCATAGGACCGATAAAAACATCCCACTCAATACGGTTATTTTGTCAATGCTTCAATTTAAACTGAGCACTTTAAAAGCATGTTCTTTTCTGCTCATTGTTCTTATTATTAACAAAACAGTGCCACGGCAAAACATATTTATGAGGCAAATAGGTATCTGGCATATTACAAAAAAACACAAATGGGCACTGAATGCTGCATGCATAGGACCGTTCTGGCATATTACAAAAAAAAAAAAAACACACACAAATAGGCACTGAATGCTGCATGCATAGGACCATCTCATTGTCCACTTTCTGTTGCCACAGCAGAGCTGTTAACAGACAAGTCTTTTTCCTAGCATCGGATCAATTTCAGTGACGGAACATAAGCAGAACAGTTGGCTGCAGATTTATGGCTGTTTCAGTTCCTACTCTTTAGTGACACTGATAAATTATTTGGAAAATGATTTCACATTACTAGTGGCCCATGGAAATAATTCTGCAAAACTATGAACACATGGAAAATATATAGCCCATGCAACCCACACGCCCCCCAGCAACATTTTCCATCTGTGATAAAATTTGGAATTCTAGCATTTGATGATCTTCTGAGATAGGTGAAAACACCACCTGATATTTTTACTTCCTACAAAAAATGCTTTTTGTTGTTGGCAAAAGAAGATATTAGATACAAAATGAAACAAAACCAGGCATATACATGAATAACTAATATAACTTTAATCAAGAACACTTGTGTTAAGAACCTGTTCTTAGAGACACTTGTGTGCTTATCTTAAGCTATGCAGTTCCCTTCCTTAGGTGCTTTAGTAAAGGTAAAGGTCCCCTTGACATTTTTAGTCCAGTCGTGTCCGACTCCAGGGGGCGGCGCTCATCCCACTTTTCAAGCCATAGAGCCAGCGCCTGTCCGAAGACAGTTTCCATTGCCACGTGGCCAGCATGACTAGGGAATGCCGTTTTACCTTCCCACCGAGATGGTACCTATTTATCTAATTGCATTTACATGCTTTCGAACTGCTAGGTTGGCGAGGAGCTGGGACAAAGCGATGGGAGCTCACTCCGTTGCGTGGATTCGATCTTACGACTGCTGGTCTTCTGACCCTGCAGCACAGGCTTCTGTGGTTTAGCCCACAGTGCCACCACACTGTCACAAAGACAACAGCAGGGATATTTCCAATAGTCCTGTATAGTAGGGCCAACATCAGGAGAGGTGATTCATATCAAGTCACTGATGTGATATTTACGCTTACCGCTCATTCTGCTAACTACCATGCCCACAGAACAAACTATGAAATGTAATACAGGTCTTCTCATGTATGTGTAAATATAAAGGTATAAACTGTTGGGAAATACTTCCCAACTGAAAGCCTATTGCATGTTTTCCCCCATATCTACCTTTCTGAAAACTCAGCCATATTTTATTTTTATTTATTGTATTTATACCCCACCTATCTAATCATTTCGACTACTCTAGGCGGCTACCAGACAGATGCACATATAATAACTGGATGCATGAATCCAGTAAGCATCACATGTGCTTTAAAAAAAAAAGAAAGAAAGAACAGAAGCAGCACAGAAGGAAGTGAGCGAAATAATTGCTGGTTTGAATTGCCACACATTCTACTTGTGGGCAGAGGGCCAGCTTATATCAGGCAGAATCGGCCAACCCTGCTTATTGGAATTCCAGGCTGGGCCTCAGTTCTTGTTCCTCGCCAGCTGTAAGCCAGCAGCCCATAGCATCTCAATCAGGCACCGAGTTCCATCAAAGAATGTTGATATGGATGGAAGCAGCTTTAGCTGCACTCCCGCTTGTGGAATGACAGTCAATCTTGGATTCCAGATGACAAGAACTGGATAACAAATGTAAAACAAATGGTGACCTTTCCAAAGATTAATTTGTTTACCAACAAAAAGCTCTCTGTTAGTCATCCAAGATAGGGGTGACCTTCATATTCCCATTTCTAGGTTGAGAGGAGCCTGAAAGTAGTCATCTGTTCACTTAGCTCTCTCACCAATTATTCCCTTTCTTATTTCTGGTAAGAGGGACAGTTTCTTAATTCATGTTGTCTCTTGTTATATTCTTTACAAATGCAAAAAACGTAGTCTAAACTACTGCATGGAACATCAATTTGTTTAAATCTACTTCTGCTACTGGTGCCAAAATTATAGATTTCTTTGTAATTGCTGGCACATGTGAGGATTTTAAATGCACGGTTTCTTGCAACTCCTATACCCCTTTAGTCCACTTTGCTGTTCAGCTGAAATCAAGTAGCATTGTTTAATTGTTATCCTTTCAAAAATGTATATATATTTCCTGTAAATAAGTTCAAATTCAAAATCAAGAATTGAAATACATGCATAAATAACACGAATACATATCTGCACAGACCAAGAGGGAAATAGGCAGAGGGAAAACAGAGAAGAAGCAGTTGGAGTAACTTAGTTAAATGGGCAGCAGAAGACAGCAACTCGTAAAAACCTGAGATCACTACAGCACTGAATTCTTCCTCATGAATAAAAGAAGAGGTTCCAAGTTTACATCACATCACACTACTTTATTTACTTATTTATTTATTTATTTGTTTGTTTATATTGTACT